CTAATAAAAGTGTATACATACCAAAGAATATTTAAATAGATAATTTCAACTAATCAATCTCCTCCAAATAAATATCTCAAAATAATTCCACATGAAATACTCCTCTAAAAAAATGTTTTACCAAGTGCTCATAAATCATCTATTAGTGACATGATGTACTTACTAATACCCTCAATTTCATTTATATTCATAATACCCTCATTTAATATAATAAAGATAATAAAACCAACTAATAACCCTCAACTAAAAACGCATTTAAATGATCCCCCATAAATAAAAATAACCAAATGCTCATAAATAATTAGTAGTGATTAGTATGAATCCCAATATCATCAAAATAATAGTCCCATTGAATAAACAATTGTTTATATATAGTGACTTGGTGCTTGTTGTTCTTCAATTTGTGACTTTTGTGAATCCTTCAAATAGTGAAGATGTGCGCTCACCTCCTTTGATGCCTGCAATTAGGCTATACACGCTTTCGGTTCACTTTCCCTGGAACCTGCTGGACATATACTTTTGCTGGTAAAATTGGGAGATCTTTCCAGGGGGTTGTGATCACAACCCCCTGATGAAGCCACGTGATTGGAGGCGTAACGCGTAGGGGAGGGGCTATGTCATCACTCGGAGAGGAGCCGCACACACGATAGACGGCAGGTGTATGACTCAAAGGCCAGCAGAGGATTTCCAATGGGATATTGCGTTTTGCGGTTATTTAAAACTGTCTAATGTGAGTTTAATACTTGGATGGTGGGAATAAAAAGTCTTTTAAAGGTAAAGCACTATGTCCTCTATTTCTTCCTGCATGCGGAGTAACACAAGGAGAGGATAATTAGGAGGTCTGAGATAACAAAAGGAGTGTGTAATCCCTGAGGGGATAATCAGCCACCAGAGGATACATCCATTACTCCTAAAGGAAGGATCTCCCAATTTTACCAGCAAAAGTATATGTCCAGCAGGTTGCAGGGAAAGTGAACCGAAAGCGTGTATAGCCTAATTGCAGGCATCAAAGGAGGTGAGCGCACATCTTCACTATTTGAAGGATTCACAAAAGTCACAAATTGAAGAACAACAAGCACCAAGTCACTATATATAAACAATTGTTTATTCAATGGGACTATTATTTTGATGATATTTGGATTCATACCAAGCACTATTAATTATTTATGAGCATTTGGTTATTTTTATTTATGGGGGATCATTTAAATGCGTTTTAGTTGAGGGGTTATTAGTTGGTTTATTATCTTTATTATATTAAATGAGGGTATTATGAATATAAATGAAATTGAGGGTATTAGTAAGTACATCATGTCATAATAGATGATTTATGAGCACTTGATAAAACATTTTTTTAGAGGAGTATTTCATGTGGAATTATTTTGATATTTATTTGGAGGAGATTGATTAGTTGAAATTATCTACCGTATTTGCCGGCGTATAAGACGACTGGGCGTATAAGACGACCCCCAACATTTCCACTCAAAATATAGAGTTTGTTATATACTCGCCGTATAAGACTATCCCCTCTTTCTTTTTGCTGGTGCCATGATAGGGTTGATAGGGGTTTGACTGCTGGACATTTTCTATGCTGTATTGTACTGTACAATGGTGCAGTACTGTGGTTGGCTGTATACAAAGCCTGATTGGATTGGTCCCTGCTCCCTGTCTGCCCTCCCTGTCTCGATGTCACTACCATGTCCCTGCATCTCCTTGTAATTGGCACTAGTGCGCAAGTCCGCATGTGCGCGCCCTGCGTAGACAAGGGACTGGCCGGAGCTCTGCTGCTTCCCGCTGAGCAGAACGGGCCGGCCACGCCGAAAAGGCTGGCACCCCTGTATCGCTGCTGATGCTCGCCGCAGCCACGCTGATGACCCGCCACGGCCGCACTGGATACCGCACGATACTGGATGGTATGTAGAATGAGGTGGGCGGGGGCGGGCGGGCATCGGGAGGCCACTATGGGCACCGGTGAGTATCGGAAGGCCACTATGGCAGCTATGTCTATTCCAGCTGAAGTGCACCCGGCGTATAAGACGACCCCCCCACTTGGAGGCATGTTTTTCAGGGCAAAAAAGTCGTCTTATACGTCGGCAAATACGATATTTAAATATTCTTTGGTATGTATACACTTTTATTAGTTATTTGTATCATAATTTGAATTAATTTAATGGTAATAATTAAATTATTATTTATTGAGAAGTATTTAGGAGCGCAACATATATTTGTAGATATTTCCAACACAGTTGTAGTTATGTGTTTCATGTTTGCGATCCTCTAGTAATTATCACACCTGTGGCTCGCAAGTTACTCTGATTCACCTATACCTGTATACAATTATTTTAGCTCCTAGTAGAACAAATCCAAGACTATATGGTCATCTTTTTCTCCATAAAAATTTGTGGCAGTGAGGTCAACCATACAGTTATGTCAGGGTTTCTCAACCAGGGTTCCATGGAACTCTAGGGTTCTTCCAGAGGTTGCTAGGGGTTCCATGAGCAATGAGCAATATCCACCTCACAGATAAGTTCCCACTGACACCATTGATATTTTTAGCTAGGTGTAATTCTTCTCAATGACCACAAGTGTAAGGAACATTCTTCCCACTGACCATCACACAAATGTATCATGAGCTGTAGGTACAGTAATTTTTAGCAGGGTTCCCTGAGACCAAAAAGTAATTTCAAGGGTTCCTTTGAGTTGAAAAGGTTGAGAAAGGCTGATTTATGTTGACTAAACTCTCCAGGAGTTGAAAAAATAAATTCAGTTACAATTCTTCTTTTGAAACAATAATTCTTCCCAAAACGACTTCAAAGGTTCAACTTTCACGTGCAAAAAAAAAGATTAGAAATAACCATATGTGCAACCTGGAGAATTACCATGGGCTAAGTAAGGGCTCTTTCAGGTGGGCGAACAAGGGGCTCTGAAAACAGGCGAGCCACATTTTTTCCACCCCCCCCCCCCGCCGAACTGCCACAATACAGCTGGACAGGGCTGTTGACAGATGACAAAGCCTGTCAAACTCACCCATTGAGTATGATAGGGAAACCCCAAACCTAACATTTGTCTCTCAGTTGCAGTCCCACAAGGTAAAATTGCATCCAGCAGTTTAAAAAGTCAAATAAGAAAAATTTAAAAAAAAAGCAGGCATTCAGGCAGTAGTCTCCTGAACGCCTTTCAGCCGTGGGTACACTGCCTTCTGAAAAGTGATCCAGAGAGGCGTATTTGCAGGGCTGGACAGTTAAGCCTAGTCTCTAAGTAAAGTTATGCTACTGAGGTTAACCACAGATTTACAGTATGTTCTCTAAATGCTCCAGGAGCTGAAATAAGAATTTCAGTTGCAACTCTTCTTAAACATAAGAATTGTTTCAAAGGGTTCAATTTTCACATGTAAAGAAAAAATTTTAAACTTACCATGTCAGGTTGACACTATTTACAGAATTCAGGAATTGCACATCCTCTGATATTTGTTTTCACAGTTTTAAAAGTATCCATGACAAAATCCATAAACACATACTGGCATCAGGTCCAGAGGGGTGGGTACTGGTGTGTCCAAGAATGAGCTGATCTAAAATGGTCAACAGCATTTAAAGTGAAGATTTAAAGCAAATTGTATTCAATACATTTCTGTTATGAACACAATATTATGAAGTCAGTATCAGCAAGGATTTGTTCAAGCATAAGAAATCCAATTGAATATATTGCATCTTACCCTTCCTCAGAGGTGATGACTGCATTTGTTTTCTTTTTTCAGGCCAAGGACATTTCCTACAAGTACAGAAAAATGCCTGTTTATCCTGTCAGAAATCTGGTGCCTTTGTAACTTCCTGTGTACTAAGCGGAATTCTCAAACATCAAACTAAAGTTATCGGCTTTTTTTTCCAGCTATCATCTGTGAACTACAACCCCACCTATGTAATGGAGATTGGGAGAGAAGGTGTTTATAGTCTAAAATAGAACATGGAGTTGAAAGGTGCTCTTCTGTAGATTCAGTAAGTGAGTGTTGTCACCCTAGAATCCCTCACTTTCCAAATATGTTTCCTTACTTCCTGGTGTCTTTAGGGCAGGAAGTAGGGGGAAATCTTCCCAATGTGTTCAATCCAACATATCTCCGGCGCCATGTTTAGATGAACAGACAAGACACAGATATCACAAAACATTGGACTCATGCTTTGGGGGCACCACTTGCAATTTCACCACAGCGTATGACTGGGTCTCTTTACAGTATGGATTATGCTGGACTCATTGGGGATGATTTACTAAAACTGGAGGGTGCAAAATCTGGTGCGGCTGAACATTATAGTCAATCAGTTTCTAACTTCAGCTTGTTCAATTAAAGCGGAACTTCATCCAAAAGGGGAAGTTCCGAATGTTTGCATCCTCCCCACCTCCACTGCCACATTTGGCACTTTTTTTTTTGGGGGGGGGGGGGGAGCAGCAAGCACATGGTTTTGACAGGTACCCGCTCCCAGTTACAATTAGATGCGCCACGGCTATCTGAGCCGGAACTTCCCCTTCAGCATCAAAGGTCCCAGCAGACTACAGGACCATTCACAGTGCAGCGCCACTCACACATGTGCGGTAGGAAACTGGCTGTAAAGCTTCACTGCCGATTTCCTTTACTTACAATGCTAGAGCCTGTACCCGAATCTGACTGAACAATCAGCTCGGGTGAGCACATCGCTGGATCCCTGGACAGGTAAGTGCCCTTATATTAAAAGTCTGCAGCTATGGTATTTATAGCTGCTGACTTTTTTGGGGGGGAGCCTGGAGCTAAGGGCAGTTTATCCTTTATATCCTGAAAATTGCAGACAGAAAAAGGCAAATTAACTTTATTTTTTAAACACATCAGCTTAGATGAAAGCTCATTGTAACTGTGCATCAGTTGCGCCCGCTGACATTCTTGAACTTTCAAATATCATCATCTGTTTTTTTAAAACACTGTTTTATTTGTAATAAATTAAAATTATAAAAGTTAAATAAACCACATAACTTAAGTCCATTCAGCTAGAAGTGGTCAAGTAATCTTCTCTTTCTGGACTTCCCATCATGTTTGGATCACCTTCAGCTTTGGCTTCGGTCTGGACAGCTGGTCTGTAAATTACTGTATATTTAAAGAAATAGTAGAGTTACCAAAGGAAATCTTGATCTACCCAAAACCTTTTTTTTACCAAAATTCACATCTATTATATAGTCTGACTACCCAATTTCGCAAATGAGAACTTAAGATTTCCAATTATCCAGTTAGCAGTATTTTAAAAAATCTCAGAGGTAGAAAGGTCATATATTTAACCTCTGCTCCCAGTAAATTTATACTAAACCAAGGAGGTCACTACTCAAAATTAGAAGTAAATGACAGTTTCTGATAGTCTCCCCTAGTCTAACTGAAAGCAGGTTGAAATTTGCTGGTTTTTTTAACGAATTAACGGCTGGCCCAGTCCGGGGGAAAGGGTTAACTGTTGTAAACTCAGTTCCTGAGGTGCAGGGGTCTTTTTGGTTGGTTCTGTTCCCGCTTGCAGCTGAAGGTTCTGGGACTGCTGTGTCTTGCAGTCTGATGAAGGCATCAGTACTTTCTGAGACATCCAAGCCATGGGGATTGCCAAAATGGACTCTCACCTCATGGAGGTATGCCTGGGAACCCACACTACAGTAGTTAGTTTAGGGAGTTCACACAGAACTGTTATGCTGCAACTTGTTCAGTAAAGTTACATTAAAAGATAAGTTCACCTTTGGAACATGTTACATGTTCCATCTGTTTTTAGGGTGTAATATGTAACATGTTCCAATAGCTGCACCCGCCACCCCCTATCCCTCTGACAGATAGTACGGGGAGAAGTTTCCCTGTACTACCTGTCAGATTTGAAAACAGTGCGGCCGTGAGGGGCTCCGCCCAAATGGATGCGTCACTCATTCACAATGTTCTGTAAATGAGTGCCTACAAGTCCCGGCAGCCTTAGCGGGAGTGGTTTTCAATGAGCTACCACGGCCCTGTGCAGCACCATCATAGTTCATTGAAGCTTCCTGTCAGCATATCTGCTTGGTCGTACATCCCATACATCCTGTATAGCAAGCAGATATTCTGACAGGTCTGCAGGAGACCTGCATGGCATCAGCGATCTTTACCTGCAAAAAAATGTGCATTTATTATTTTTGTCCAAAAGGTGAACTTACCCTTTAACCATTTTGTGCCTGGTCTGAAGTTATTCCAAGGGGTGCATGTTGGGATTTATTCGGCAAGGGATTTATTTGTCAGGACAAAGAAGAGTGCAGTTGCTAAGAGTATCCAAGCCCAAGTTCAAGACACAAAGCAACCAGTCATCAGGCCTGGTACCTGGTAAGGTGACAGGTCCTCCAGTAGTGAGGGATTTGTCTGGCTCCCTCCCTAGTGGTCGGTATCCAATAGCAACCAGATCTGAACCCCTGGTTTGAAGACCTGTGGCCTGGTCAAAAGGTATGGGAAGGAAGGAGTAAATAAGTGCACACATGAGGTCTGTGCTAGGTGCATGATGGGCTCCCATTCTGTTACTGGGAGTGAGTGAACAAATGTTTGCTGGACTGGTGGAGTGGGCGCAGGCTCAGTGCATCCCTCTCAATGCAATATCTACCAAGTTACAGTGTGTAGTGATGTGGGGCAAGACACTACTCAGAGGAACTCTGTACTTTAAATTAGAACTTCACTGTCTCAATCAACATTGACTAATTGTAATTCTTATGCTGCTAGCATTAGTAAATTGATAGTAAAGTATATCAGATTTACTTGTTTTAAGCTGTTTTTTTTTTTTATGATTAAAGTGTTACTAAAACCCCGGACACCTGCATTCACTATATCTGGTCTCCCCAGACCCCGCATTCACTATATCTGGTCTCCCCAGACCCTGCATTTACTATATCTGGTCTCCCCGGACCGTGCATTCACTATATCTGGTCTCCCCAGACCCCGCATTCACTATATCTGGTCTCCCCGGACCCCGCATATAGTGAATGCAGGGTCCGGGGAGACCAGATATAGCGAATGCAGAGTATGGGGAGACCAGATATAGTGAATGCAGGGTCCTGGGAGACCGGATATAGTAAATGCAGGGTCTGGGGAGACCAGATATAGTGAATGCAGGGTCTGGGGAGACCAGATATAGTGAATGCAGGGTCCTGGGAGACCGGATATAGTGAATGCAGGGTCCGGGGAGACCAGATATAGTGAATGCAGGGTCCTGGGAGACCAGATATAGTGAATGCAGGGTCTGGGGAGACCAGATATAGTGATTGCAGGGTCCGGGGAGACCAGATATAGTGAATGCGGGGTCTGGGGAGACCAGATATAGTGAATGCAGGGTCCTTGGTTTAGTAGCACCTTAACCAATTTGTACAGTTTACACACATTGCAATGTAATGGTTATGGTATTTTTTCATAGGCACCCTAGAGGGAAACTCAAGAAGCTTTGCTCACTATTGCCCATCTAAGCAGGCGGAGGCAGCAGTCATAGGAAATCTGCATTAAAGTGGTTCTAAAGCCTTAAGCCAGTGAATGATTGGTACCAGACACTCACTGTGTTCATTCAGGAAAGGAAGGGGATGGTAGATGTTACATATTTACTGGACCCTTTCCCCAACTGTCCATCCTGAAGCATCCTATTGTGTGCTTGCAGCTGCTGGTGGGAAGGAGAAGAGGCAAGCTGGCAGCACTGTGGGGCACACAGGGGGGCCTGAGCAGAAGGGGGAAATGTATGGTGATGGGGATGGTGATAGGTGCAGGGTGGGTGGGCAATTACTGGCACAAATCCCCGGTATGCCCCCTCTGCAGCAGCTGAAAACCAGTGGTAGGGAGAGGAGAAAACTCTGGCTTTCAACTCCTGCAGAGAGAGCCATATAGGGGTTTGTTCCAGCCCCCCCCCGCCGTGTCGCTCACCCTCCCTGCCCACATCCAATTCACCCAGCTGCCTGGGCCCGGGACAGGAGTAATGGTGGTATCCCTTATCTACAGCCCTGATTAGGTGTCAATTGTCCTAATATTGCATTTCAATCAAAATTGCTGGACAATTTTTGGTTTATTTATTTATATTCAAATATATTTACAGCAGTGCTGCACTTTATTAGGTGAAACTACAGGATGAATGTGGGAACACATGTCAATGCTGGCTGGCTGCTGACAGTATGTACACTTGTGGTATTGTAACCACTTGCCCTCCAGAGGATTTATCCCTATTCCTGACCAGGCCATTGTTTGCAATACGGCGCTGCGTTACTTTAACTGACAATTGCGCGGTCATGCAATTCTGTACATAAATGCAACTTATGTCCTTTTTTTCCCACAAATAGAGCTTTGCTTTGGTGGTATTTGATCACCTCTGTTTTTTTTTTCCTGCGCTATAAAAAAATAAAGACTGACAATTTTGAAAACAAAAAACAATATTTTTGACTTTTTGCTATTAAACATGTCCAATAAAAAAATGTAAAAGATTAAATTTCATCATAAATTTAGGCCAAAATGTATTCTGCTCCATGTCTTTGCTAAACAATATCCCAATACGTGTAAATTAATTGGTTTACGTGACAGTTATAGTGTCTACAAATGGCAGTATATATACTGGAATTTTTATTTTTTTTATACTAGTAATGGCAGCGATCAGCGACTTATAGTGGGACTGCGGGACAGCGGAGGGCATTCTGAAACTGGGGGGGAACTGACTAACTGTCACTGACATCCCCAGTGACACTAATACAGTGATCAGTGCTAATAAAAAGCACTGACACTGTACTAATGACACTGGGCAGGAAGGGATTAACATCTGGGGTTAAATGTGTGTTGTGTTTTACTATGGAAAACATGCTGCTTTTTATCTCTCTGTTGGCTAAATGGTTATATCACTTCCGCCTGGCAGTACTAGGGTTGTTGGTTCGAATCCCAACCACGGCACCACCTACCTGAAGTTTGCATGTTCTCCCTGTGCATGTGTGGGTTTCCTCCGGGTACTCCTGTTTCCTCCCACACTCCAAAAGACATGCTGGTAGGTTAATTGGTTCCTGTCTAAATGGGCCCTAGTATGTGTATGTATGAATGTGAGTTAGGGACCTTAGATTTTTTACATTCACATTGGTCTCCAAGCCTCAAAGGGCATACAATCCATGTAAAGCATTGTGTAAATTGATGGTGCTATGTGAGTACCTGTAATAAATAATAATAATAAATTCTGCGAAATGATGGGATGTCCCGGTGGGGAATCAATGCTTTTATGTAATTTAGGTAAACAATAGAAAGTTGGAGTATGTGGAAAATCAACTCGTATGAATTCCCATTGGTCCTTAGAAATACTTCCATGAGCAATGAGTTTTGTAAAATTGATCATGAAATTAATCAGATTTCTGGTAATAGAACGATACCATTCTTCATTCTGAATAATCTTGTTACACACCTCAAGGTAACATTCACTGTCCATGATAACTATATTGCCTCCTTTGTCAGTGGGTTTGATGGTGATGCTACAATTAGCAGTTAAATTATGTAGTGCCTGCCTTTCCTCTGATTTTAAATTACTTGACCTTTTCTTTATTTGCATTTTTTTAATTTCCTCGGTGGTGAGTTTTACAAATGGATCTAGATTGGAATTTAAATTGAGTGCAGGGAATTTATCGGATTTATTTTTATTTTGGATATGTTTGGGAAAGAAGATGAGATGTGAGTGTTATTGGCCTCGCTCTCACTGCAACTAGTTTGTTCTAAAAGTTGTTCAATGTTCAGTATATCAATCAAATCACTGTAGCCTTCATCCTCAAAAAGAGTAATCAGACCTTTCAGGGTGTCATGATCCTGGTTATAGTGAGTCCTACATGTTTCCGTTTGCCTTTTGTTATGTAGCATTTTGAGAATAAGTTTTCTCGCAAAAGATGTAAATCTTTGGTAATTTAAAATTGATTTAAATTTTTGTCTGGACAGAAGCTGAGGCCTTTCATAAGAATTTTTACTTCCTCTGTGGATAGTAAATGTTTAGAAAGATTTACTACACTTGAATCAGTGTTGTCCAATTGAATGGATGGACGAGGGGATTTTGGCCCTATTTGATGTATGGTGAATTCATGTCCGTGTTGGAAAGTTGGTCTAAAAAAGCATTA